TAGAAATAATATATACAAAATGAGGCTCGAGCAGATCCTGAAGACACAAGTGGCTCACAGTACTCAACCCCCTCCTTCTGATGCATTGCTGCTTCTTCCACCACTATGACCTAATGGGATGTGCCCTGTCACCAATTGGCTACAGTGGAAAAGAGTCAAAATTAGTTTATAGTTGTCTTTATCTGATATGCTGGCATTAGAAAGAAATGGATGACTGCAAAATTATGCCCCCCAGAGTGACCCTAGAGGATATCAGGAATAGGCAGTACTTCAAGAAATACATCTATCTGTCCAGTTTTCCCAGAACGTGAGGTAAGAATCTATATCGATTTATGGATGGAGGTTAATGGTATAGCAAGATGGAGAATTAGGAATAATATTGAGAGAGAGTTTGGAGAAGAATGATGTGAATAAAACTTTCAGAATGATTCCCAAATGTGAGACTCTCTGTCAGGTTCAGTTGCAGATCACGGATATCACTCTATTTAGTTTAAAGGGAAAAGGTGGCTTATATAATATTTGGAAATGCTAGAGGAATAACTTTTAGGTGAAACTTACAAGAGCAACCACCTGCCCCCAGAATTCACTGATTCTGCTATGGTTGGGTAAGCTATGACTACCACTACAGGAAACCATCAAATCGGCAAGCTGGTAACCGTAGAACCACACTTCCTCTGCTATGATCCACAGCAGCCAGTGGGTACTTCACACTCCACCTCCTCCTCACTGAATTCAGTTAACTCAGTTTTAAATTCAAGTCTCATATAAGTGCATCTATTTGATTGGTAGAATTTCGATCACATATGGAATACTAACTTTGACAAGATTTAAGACAAAATTTTTAGCTTTCTAGGCTGAGTATAGGAAGGCATACTAGAAGGTGGGTAGAATGTAAGTTAGCAAACCAATCTACTCTAGTGAGAAGATTTGTATCCTAGGAGTAGAAGAGGCTCTCAGCAATCAGGTAAACAATATGACCTATTCTAAATGGTGTCAGGTTTCTACTCTAGTTATCCCAGAGGTTGCTCTATGAGCTTATGAACAAAGTGGCCATGGGGCCATTAGTAAGGGTCATGCAAGGGCTCAACAATATGGACTTTCTCACACTAAGACTGACCTGACTACTGCCAACTTGGACCCCTTCCGTCATGGTGGTGTTGGAAAACATTCTACAGTTATCTCATGAATCCAAGAAAAATTTTAGTAATCAGATCTTGAGAAGAAAAGGAACTAGGGTAACTTCTGGAATCTAAGCAGCAGGAGTTATGCAGACAATTGCCAATAATGCGACTCAGCTTGTAACGGTTCTGTGCATTGGTGTCTCCCAGTGCAAAACTCCCAGGAGAAACTAATGATTGGCTCAGTTTGAGTCAGATATCCATCCATGCTTCAATCAACTATGATCAGGGAATGGTATTGCAGAGCACAAGTGTGATTGAAGTGGTCTTTTGGGGAAGGCAGTTCCCAGAGAAGGATGAATTTGTTTTGAAGGCCACAACAAATTATGATATATCATACAAAGAATATTATAATTTAACTTCTCAAGCTATGATTTCTTAGTCCCAACTTGACCATAAGCTCTTCAAGGACAAGAAAGATGAGGCATAATTATTAATCTCTCAGACCATAGCTCATATGACAGCTATCAACAATGTGGAGGAGATCCAAGCTATGTCTGACTCTGGGATTCATCTTGCCTTAGTAGGTATGATGAACCAGTGGGGAGGGCCTGATAAACTAGTCCTGATAAGCTAGGAACCATTCTTGAGACAGAACTCATTTTAAGGGAAGAGAATCTGACATAAACTTTAACAAAGTCTGCGTAATGGTTATTTTCATGTGTCAACCTGACTGGGCCATGAGGTGCCCAGATATTTGATCAAATATTATTATGGGTACATCTGTGAGAGTGTATTTGGATGAGATTAAAATTTGAATTGGTAGACTCAGTAAAGCATTGCCCTTCCTAATATGAGCGGGTCTCATCCAATTAGTTGAAGTCCTGAAAGAATAAAAAGGCTGACCCTCCCACACATAAGAGGAAACTACTCCCACCTGACAGCTGATCTGGACATCAGTTTTTTCCTGCCTTTAGACTAGAACTGAAACATTGGCTCTTCATGAGTCACAAGCCTGCTGGCTTTCAGATTAGAACTATATATACCTTGGGCTCTCCTGGGTCTGCAGCTTGCCAGCTGCAGATCTTGGGACTTACCTGTCTTCATAACTGTGTAAGCCAATTCCTTATTAAAAATCTCTCCCTCCCCTTCCTGACACACACACACTCTCTCTGTTTCTGTCTCTGTTTCTGCCTCTGTCTCTGTCTCTCTGTCTCTCTCTGTCTCTCTCTGTCTCTCTCTGTCTCTCTCTGTCTCTCTCTGTCTCTCTCTGTCTCTCTCTGTCTCTCTCTGTCTCTCTCTGTCTCTGTCTCTCTCTGTCTCTCTCTCTCTGTCTCTCTCTCTCTCTCTCTCTCTTTTGTGCACGGGCACACGTGCACTGTGTTGTCTCAGGGCCTCTCCCACTGTACTTGTCCTCTCCAGCAGAGTACCAGACTTCTTATGTAGTACCTCAAATATCTAAAAGCTAGGGACCTAAAACCTTTTTAAAAGAGAGGAAATGGAAGCTGCAAGACCTCTTAAAGGTCAGGCACAAAACTGGCAGTGTCCTTTCTGCTATATTCTGTTGGTTAATGTGAATCCGAGAAAAGCCTACATTCAGAGTTGGAAGGGACTACACAAGAGTTAGGAGATGTAGTTCATTGGGGGCCATCTCTGAAGAGCTTAAACAGAGGTTTGGCTGGGTATCAGGTCTAAATTGAAAATCTAAATTTTCACTCAGAATTTTGGTGTTTTGCTGCACTGTGCCTATTGAGAAGTCCAGTACCACTCTGATCCCTGAGCCTCTACATGCAGCCTCTTTTTTCTCTCTGGAGGATTTTAGGATGTTCTCTTTATTTCTGGTGTTCTGAAATTTCTGGTGAGCCTTTAGAGGGTCTTTTTTCATTCACTGTATAGGGAACTCAGAGGGTCTTTCAATTTGGAGACTTATCCTTCAGTTCTGGGAATTTTTATATATTATTTTATTTCTTTGATAATTTCCTCCCTTACTTTTATCTTGGATCTCTCTGGAATTCCTATTAGTCAGATGTTAGATTTCTTGAACTGATCATCTAATCTTTAAAAGTCTGTTTGTCTCTATTATCCATCTCTTTGACATTTGTTCCATGTTCTAGGAGATTTCTTTGTCTTTAAATTCCACTCTTTGATTTAAATTATTATTTTACCCATTAGATTTTAAATTTCCAAGCACTGTGTCTCATTTTATTTTTATAGTTTATTTCTTTCATTTCATGATTGTAATACCATCTCATATCTTTTTGAGATTATATTTTATTTTAATTTTCTTTTGGCTTCCTTTCTTTCTCTGTTCTTGAGTCTTCCTTCCTTCTTTCCTTCCTTCCTTCCTTCCTTCCTTCCTTCCTTCCTTCCTTCCTTCCTTCCTTCCTTCCTATATTCTGTTGATTAGGTGATCCCAAATGATGAGTTTCACAGACTATTTTTCCAAATTCCAATCATGCAATTTTATTATGGGAAAAATCAGTGCATAAACAACTTGATTTTTTTCATTTTTCTTTCTTTCTTCCTCTCTTTCTCTTCCTCCCTCCCTCCCTCTTTTCTCTCTCTCTCTCTCTATCTCTCTCTCTCTCTTTCTTTTTCATTTCTAATGCTCAGGTTAGAGGTGCAGATTAGATTCTCAGCTGGTGATCCTTGGCTGTCATCTGTATTTAACAAAGAAGCACTAAGAAGTTGGGCAGCTTTAGGTGCAGGGTATGTGTTTGTGGACAAGTGGGCTTCATTGCGGAGTTCTCCAAATGTCGATATCTATAGACCTTTGCTCTAGAATGATTCCGTTTCTTCAAGGGAGAGCCCTCCAGTCTCCTGGCTAGGAATATGGACTTCCCTGCTTGCATTCTGGAAGCAGGTAAAAAAAGAATTGGAAGGTCTTGCCAGGCTTTTGTCCTTTTTTAAGTATAATATCTCATCACTCTGTTCTGCTGTGGAGACTGTTCCAGAAGTAACCTTACATCTTCTGCCAGGAAAGGGAAGGAACAGTCACTACCTGGCTCCATAGATTGGAAAGAATCAAGGGATCCATCTGCTCCTTATAGCAACTTTCAACCCAACTCTATTGTTTCAATATCACCCCAAATCTCACCTTCAGATGTACCTAGGGTCTCTAGAACAGTTAGAATTCTGAGTATGAATCATTGGTTTCTTCTTGGCTGCCTCCCTATATGCCTAAATTTTTGCTTTGCTGTCTGTTACCCATCACCATCCACTTTCTAGCTCCCAAGTTTTGTCAACATCTCCTGTCTACTCTCATCATTTCTCCCATTCCCTTTGTCCTTATGTATTTGTGCCTTATCTCCAAATAAGGTTACATTCAGAGATATTGGGGGTTAGAACTCCAACATATCTTTTTCTGAGGGATACAAGTCAATCCATAAAGGGGGCAAGGATATTAGGTGGGAACTAGCATCATCTGCCACATTAGAGAAAAAATCGTTGAACTTGTCATCTGCCACAGGATGAGGAGCTTGTTCAGGTAAAGGCAGCCTGGGAATAGGAGTCAGAGCCCAGGGGGATAAAGAGGGTGTCTATTCCACAGGTGATCTGCTGTGAGATGTCCAAGCATGGGCGGATTCAGGAGGGTGTTCCCAGGTGGGGGGCTGGCAGAAGCAGCCTGGCTCAGGATGTCAGAGTCCAAGTAGAGTGAGAAGAGAACCTTCCCAGGAGAAGGGGGGTGGTGATGGCAGTAGGAGGTTAGTTACACATTGGGAGGCTGATCAATAAGTAAAGTTCACTGGTCATTTGGATTTCCTTTTTTGAGGACTTATCAAGTATTTTGTCCATGTTTCAGTTGAGGTGTCTGTCTTTTTCTTATTTTTTTAAAGCCGTTGTTTATATATTGTGGCTATGTGTCCTTTTTTTAAAAAAAAAAAAAATACAGAATGCTTCACAAATTTGCTTGTCATCTTTGCGCAGGGGCCATGCTAATCTTCTCTTTTTCGTTCCAGTTTTAGTATATGTGCTACCGAAGCGAGCACATATGAGTCCTTTTTATGTGTAGCACATAACTTTTTCTACACCATTCTCTTAATGGTGTCTTTTGATAAACAGAAGGTGTTAATTTTCATGAAGTCAAATGTACCTTGTTAATTTTGCTAGCCTCAGTTTCCCAGAAACCAGAGCTTCATTTTATTATTAGGGAGTCCAGGAAGCGAGTATGAGAAACAGAGAGTGAAACAGAAAAGAAAGAAAGGAGAAACAAGAGGATGTTTCATCAACTTGGCTACCACTAAATTAAACTGATTGCTGGATCTAGGGACTGTGTCCTCAATAAACAAACTTCATCTCAAGACCACCCTGGGAGAAGTGAGATAAGGGAAGAAGTGGTGGGGCGGGGGGGAATTACTTAGTGGTTCCTGTCTCCCAGTGGTCAAAATTCTACTCCATGAGGCATTATCTCCTTCATACATCCAGGTTGCACATATGAATTTAGATTATCTTAAAAAAAGATAAACAAAACCCTTTACTGCCATTTTAGTGGGGTTTAGGCACTTAATAGTGTTAAATGCATGGATTAAATTTACTATTGCTAATATAAAGTCTTATTTTCTAAGTGGTTATTACTGGAGTGTAGGAACACTGATGATATCATGGAATTGCCATTCCAGCCACTGAGCAGGGAGTGTCTATGCTCAGCTCTCATCTAAAGACTGAGAACATTTTTATCCTCCCACCCACTTGACACACAGCTTCCCATAAAACTATAGCTCCAAGCAGAAGGTTGGCGATAGTTTTGTTCAACTTGCATGTAGTGGCATGGGTGTCCTTGGCTTCAAGCTGAAAACCTGGCCCAGGTCCTCCACTTCCTGGAAGGCATTTACATCTCTATCCATAGGAGACAAATCTCTGACTGCTACTTTTGCTTCTAGACTTATTTTCAAAGCCCAGGAGGTCTGTGGCTTCAGCATATTTACATAGGTGTTTATCTTATTTTAAAGGTTAGATCTCTTTACTTTTCTCTTTTCAAGTTTTATCTATCATTATATGTCTGCTATAGTGTGTGTGTGTGTGTGTGTGTGTGTGTGTTAAAATTCTTAACCCATTTCACCATTTTCATCAGAAGTCTAGTACGAGTTTCCTGAATTGATGACAGATAACGGTTGTGACAGGATGTTAATTAGATTCTCCCTGTTGTCTTTGGAGTTTCAGCAAAAGCATCAAAAGCAGAAAGTGACACAACAGATGCCAGGTAGCCCCTTCCCTTCTCCACCTCAGAGAGAGTTGGGAAGAGATTGTGAACCAGTCTGCTAGCATTGCTACTCATCCACATTGAGTCTATATAAGAAAATGAGGATTGTGTTGGAGAGTTATCCATGGGCTCTATATTTCCTCTCCTGCCACTCTGGGGATAAAGGAGGGTCATTCCCTCTGCCTAAAGCCAAGTGAAATAGAGGCCTCCACTAGCACCTCAGAATGTTTAGCTTATATATCCTGGGGGTTCAAAGTCTATAAGGACTGATGTCCTAACTTCCACCTGAGGAAGTCCAAGAGCAAGATCCTGGCTAACTAGCTACCCTGAGATGGCAAGTAAGGTGGGTGGCACGGAGAATGGGTTGCACTGTTATTGCCAGTAGGGCAAAGATGCATAAGTTGTCCTGTGGGCCAAGTATACCTAGAAGGAAATTGACCTAGAGTAATTTTAAAAGGATCCTTCCCATGAGGGGTGCCCAGAGAGGAAAGGGCCCCGGGAGACTGCACTTTACATGAGACGAACCTCTAGAAGGTCAAAGACTGGTGGGGGAGAAGAGTCACAGGCATTCAACCAGAGGAGGAACATTGCCTCAGTCCTAGCAAGAGAGTCATAACAAAATCCACAAAGGTGACATAAGAGAGAAAGAGCCATTTGTGAGTCCTCCATGTTCATAGGGAACAAACTTTCGAAGATAACAGCATCCTGCAAAAATCAGGAAAGACTATGCTCTTTTCCCCTAATCCCGTCTTCTCCTGCACCAAATTCTTGGGGTGTGTGTGGAGGGGTAAGAGTGGGGGTGGGAGTGTCAGAAATAGCAGTTAGTGGTGGGACAGGAGAAGTAAACTCTGAGGACTAAAGACAGGGATGTGGAGAAACCTGGCACACCTCCCTTCATCACAGCAAGCTTTATGTCTGAAGCAGGGAAGAGCTGGGGAGGAGAGAACTTTTAACTTGTATGAACTTTAAAGTTGTAATTGTTACCCTGCACAAGATATTTTCAACTATAATAAGACAACTCGTGTGACTGAAAACTACTTGAAAAGTGAAAGAATCTGCAAGAGATTTCATGCAGGACATGGAAGGAACTATACAAAAGGCAGACTAAAGGGGAAGCAGAAGAGGCTTCTGATCATATACCATGGAAACCAGCTGCCTTGATAAAAAATAATTATTCAATATTAGAAAAGGATTGAGGGAGAAAAGTTGATACAGAGTATAACTAACTCTGATGTAAAATGTATTGACTCTAAGTATCTATAAATACCTATTCATTTTCTTCACATTTACTTAGATCCCACCAAAAGCATGAGTAGCCGAAATTCATATATAGGCTAATAAAGATAGGGCATACTTCTGGCATAGTTTAAATTATTTTTCATTAAAATAACTTTTATGGGTTTTTAATTTTATACAAATTATATAAATAACCCCAAAGTCAGAAAATACAGATGAAAAAACAAAACAACCAAAAAACGCCTCCATAATAGATTAGGCAAGGTTGTACTGTGGCAGCAAAATATCCCTCGAATTTCAGTGCTTAACACAACAAAGTTTTATTTTGTGCTCACGGTACATGTTCAACTGGGTGGGGGTGATACTCTGCTCTACAGAATCACTCGGAGACCCAGGTTGACAAGCTGTACCATCTGGAACACATGGCTTCCTTAGTTGCCCACAAGAAGAGAACGAACGGAGAGCACGGAAATCTTGGGCCTGGAAGTGATACAAGGTGCTTTCATTCACATCTTATAGTGCCTGGAAATAGTCAAATGGTCTCCTTTCTGAAACGAGGAAGAAAGTATCCTCTTCCTCGTGCCCACAATGAGAAGAGAACCAGGTATCAGCGAACCCTGGTAATGTGTCCTAGAACTCCTAATCTTACCAAACCAGAGATGACTAAAATCAACTTCTCTAGACTATTTTATATGGCAGTTTCACGAACATAGACTGTCACCCCTTTCTGACAGGCCTTTTAGGCTATGGAGCTTATGTAGCCAAATCTCTGAGTGTAGGTCTCCGTTTCACAGGATATATTGTAAAATGTATTCAATACTGTTCGGAAATCTTGCATATAACTCATTTTCTGGTTAAGTGCCATCACTTTCTCAGATGGCTTCACTTTTATTTCCATCATCAGTCCTAGTGTTGTTTTCTTTTCACAAAGAAATCACATTAAAATAATCTCTTTATTATTAAATAACACAACCAAAAGAAAACAACAGAATTGGATTGAGATGTAGATAATTAGCATTTGGCAGATTTTATTCATTAGCTGCTAGCTTATTCCCTCACTATGACTTCCAAGTATGCAGGTAATCTCAATTCATGTTTCAAACAAAATTAGCTATTCATCTGTGAAAAATAATTTTAGATTTTAATTTAACAGATAATGTGAGAATTCATATACAAAATCCCAAGTAAATATGGAAAATAAAATCCTAAAAGTGTTAAAACATATATAGAAGACTGTATTGATAATCTTGACACGATTAAGGTCTCTTTGAGCCACAAAACCCAGAAGTCAGGAACTGGAAATTCGAATGCCTACAGGGAACGGGCAGGTAATGTTAAGGAGTGAAGTAAGCTGAGTATAAGAAAATCAACTCGTAAAAATTTTCCTTTATTTTTACTGAACTATGATGTAAGCGTATGCCATTATACAAATATGTAAAATTGGATACATTTTAAATTTAATATGTAAACACGTAAATTAGAAAAGGGAAATCTTTTATAACTAAATTTCTTTGTTCTGCCTTTGCTTTGGAGTTAGAAACTTGATTTTCATACCAATTTCAGGTATTGTGTTTCTCGTTGATAGATGAAAACTGTTAAGCCACTGTTTTATCTTGAAGAGTTTGGTTAGGGTCTGCGTGTTTTGACCATTGCTTTTCTTCTTTTGTGGGTTATCTTCTTCTTGACTATTACACTTACCATGCAGGGCCCCGAGACTGGGGACTACTCCTACAGCCAGGGGTCCAGAAAAATTCTGGTCAGAGTCGGGGGATTTGAATAGCTCAAAAAAAAAACCTCTCCAGGACTTCAATCATTATTTGGACGCCTGGCGGTGAGTGCTCTTTCACATGGGCACAAGCGTTCTGGTTGAGAGCGAAAATTTACTCGAATGTCTGCTTTGGGTTGGGTTCTTGCCACTACTCCGCACCTTCTCATCCTCAATTTCAACCTCTAGAAATCAGGCAAACTGGAAACTGAGGGCTGTCGCTCGGCTTCTTCTGGGAGGCCAGGACTTTCGTGGGCGCTCTTTCCGCGGTGCGTGACCTCTGACATACCTAAATGTTTTGGGGGTTATTTATATTCCCATCATTTATAACCATTAATTGTCCCCACGTAAATTAATAGGATTGGGGGACGAGGGAAGGACGAAGGTGCTCCCACAGCCTCGAGGCCCACCACGTCCTGAGGCCTCCAGCAACCTGGAGAGACGAGCTCGGGTCCCACTCCTCCCTTCCGCCCGGCCCACCCCGCGCGGAGGCCCTCGGTGTCACGTGGTCGCCGGGGGAGGGGAAGTGGGAGGCTTAGCGGCGCCATCTTGCGGGTTTGGAGGCGGAGCTGTGGAGTGCAGGTCGCGCGCTTCACTTCCCCTCCCCTCGCCCTGCCTCGCTCCAGCTTCCGCGCTCCTCCCCATTTCTTGCTCCTGTGGCCGCTCCCTCAGTGGAGAAGCGGGGAGCCCCGGAGGGCGGGGGTGGGGGTGTGTCGGGCGCGTGCTCGCGCCCTCTAACCGGCGGCCGCGGGGGCGCGCTCGGCCGGGCCCCCCGGGACAC